TTGCAAGGGCAGGTTCCTGATGCCAGCCACAGCTGAAGAATGCGAGCTGACAAGTCTTGCATGCCAGAGAGATGTGCCAGGGCTCAGTTCCTCGGTTTCTCCTTGAGGAATTTTTGTCTCCACTTCATCGGGCGGGGAAATTCTCGGGAAGGTGGTGGATTAAGCAAAGCAGGAGCAGCGGGGTCATTTCAGGTGCTGAGTGCCCAGCTCTTCCAACCCTTTGCCAGTCTTTGCCATGGCCATGCTGGCTTCAAAAGGCCTCGGCCTCCAGATTGGTTTTCGGAAAAAGGCAGCCACCACCCGAGCCAGCTGAAATGTATCAAACCGGATAATCAGACTAGCGCCAAATAAATGCCTCTGAGACCTCGGGGTCCCAGTGGACGATCACTTGACCATGAGCCAGCCGTGTGCAGCAGCAACCAAAAAAGCTAATACAATCCTGGGTTGCATAAACGGAAGCATAGAATCAAGATCACGCGAGGTATTAGTACCGCTGTATAAAACCCGGTGAGGCCACACCTGGAATACTGCAGCCAATTTTGGTCACCACGTCACAAAAAAATGTTGAGAGTTTGGAAAAAAAAATTCAGAGAAGAGCAACTACGATGATCCAAGGCCTGGAGACCAAAACATACGAAGAACGGCTGCGGGTCTTGGGTTTGGCTAGTCTAGAGAAAAGAAAAAATAGGGGAGACATGAGAGCAGTGTTCCAGTATTTGAGGGGCTGCCACAAGGCAGAGGGGGGCAGGTTGTTCACCAGAGCACCAGAGGGAAGGACGAGTAACAATGGTTGGAAGCTGATCAAAGAGAGAAGCAACCTGGAATTAAGGAGAAACTTCCTGACAGAAATCATGGGTGCTCCATCACTGGAGGTTTTTAAGAAGAGATTGGATAGTCACCTGTCTGAGATGGTATAGGTTCTCCTGCTAGAGCAGGGGGCTGGACTAGAAGACCTCCAAGGTCCCTTCCAGCTTCTATTCTATTCTATTCTATTCTATTCTATTCTATTCTATTCTATTCTATAATTCCCCCCCAGTTATGATCCCAAGTAATGATTGCTTGTGTTCAGAATTCAAGCATGCAACTCTCCTCCTTTAACAACCATTTGCATTTAACAACAGTAAGGAAAAATTAACAGGGTAACCAGTTTTCTCATTTATGACCTTTGCAAGTCTGTAAAGGAAAGGAAAACCCAAGTCAGATGATAAAGCACCCTTGCAGTTTCACCGAGCAACCGATTCACTTAAGGACCGAATTGCCGGCCCCAATTGTAATGACTAAATGAGGACTTTCTGTACTTTTTGCCAATTGCATTTTCTGCTTCCAAGAATATGTTCTACCCTTTTGGCACTCAGTGTAGTCACTAAATGAGGACTACTCTACTTCTTGCAGATTGCATTTTCTGGTGCCAAGAATATATTGCAAATTTTTGGCACTCAGGAAAATCTAACCGGTGGCTGGCACCGGTTCCTGAGTTCCGTGGTCAGCCAGCATCTGTCTTGGGCTTTCCCTGTTTTGCAACTGCAGGCACAATTCATAAAGAGCCACGGACCGTTTCTGTCCCCGAAACAGCCCCAAATCCCTTTGCCCTGAAGAACTGATGTTTCTAATCCACCTTATGCCAGGGAGGCAGCGGTTTTCCTTTACGTTAACATTTTGCCTCCCCTGCTCTCCATCTTATCCTTGTCACGGCATAAGTAGCTTAGCCTGGAACACGAGTGAGTTCATCCCCCTGGACGTCATGATAAAGATTTCCAATCTGGTCTCTCCAGGGCTCTAAAATACCCCCTGATTATTCCATCGTATTGGCCACATCACTGGGTAGCTTTTAATAGCCCTGATAATAACACACCCAAAGTAGCATCCATTGAAATAAGGGACCTTTTTAAAAACGGCCTGCTTTTTCCAGCCATAGGATATAACCTAGAGACGACGTGGGTTCGTTTGTTTTTTTCGAATTTGCCAACTTTTAACATAGGTGGACTCCAACTCCCAGAATTCTCTAACCAGCATGCTGACTGGGGATTTCTGGGAGTGGAAATCCACCCTTCTTCAAACGGCTAAATTTGAAAAGACTGACCTAGGATGCAGACTCTCAGTGCCTTCTCAAAAGATGTTCAGATTTTTGGGGAGAGGGGGGGTCTCCTGTGGGTGGGACTTGTACCTCCATCCAGGTGGCCCATTTCTTGAACTCCTGCTGGTTGCATCCCTTCCGCCTTAGAGGCCGCTTCTGGGAGAGGAAAAGCTGGAAAAAGAGGGAAGAAGAGTTGTGGGCACTGGGTGCAAATTTGTGTATTCCCTTAAGAGGTCTTTTCTGTGCGCCCACTGAAGGAGAAGGAGAAGGAGAAGGGGGGGCTGAGGAAGAGGAGAAAAGAGGAAGAAGAGGAGGGGGAGGAGGAAGAAGGAGGAGGGGGGAGGAAGAAGAGAAGGAGGAGGATGAGGAGGACATGAGTCCCCTTCCCTCCTTTTTCATGCTTGACAGGAACCTGGGCTGTTCAAAGCGCTCGGTGCACAATTAAAGGGAAGTGAGAGCTGTTTGGAGACGGGTCTATTTTGGGCAGTCGTCAAGGAGAAGGCTGGATTCCTCCCACTCACACATGTCAAGCGCTATTTGGAGCCATTGGCGCAGCAGCCTCCGTCACCTCACTTTCTGGGGTGCCAGCAGCAAGACGAACCCCTCGAGAGCTGGGCTTGATGACCCTGGAACCCCAGAACTTTCTGGGGAAAGGGCAGGAGTAGATCTCCCCATCTGGCCTTTGGCTGAAAAATCCGGCTGGCGAAAAGGAGCTGGCCCACATACACACATACACATCAGGGGGTCTCCTGCATCGGAATCTTTGACGGGAGGTTAAAAGGCAGGCTAGGAGGGAAGCAGCTAGTCCTCAAGGGTTGGCCTCGGCTTCCAGAGGGCAGACAGAAAGTTGGAGGTCAAAGTCGGTCTCTGGAAGCCAACGAACCGTGTTGTAAGTGCTTCATTCAAGATTCAAAGATCTTTGCCCTAGTTAACTCCAGGTTTGTCCCTCCTGAAGCTGAAGCGAGGCCAAACATCCTGCGCTCCATAAGGAAGACGCTGGGTCCTGCTCAGTGCTGGGCTTCCCATTTGGCATTCCCATTTCCCACCCTCCACGGCCCAGTCCCTGCTTACCCAGAGACCAAAACCACGTGGCCAACAAAACAAGAATTCAGCACTAGGATTTTCCCACATTTTATTCTTTTTTGGTTTTTTTTTTAAAGTTGCCAATTCTGCATCAGAAAGCAGAGCAGAAAACATGCAGAATGGTGCTGGATTCTTTTTCTTCCCAGGCCAGTGTTCAAAATCACCCTCCGCGCAGTCTCTCTTCCCTGGTCAGTTTCTCTCAACATTTCTGGACACTCTCCCTTTCTGTGTTACTCGTTTGCCTGCAGAGCAGATGCACCTGCAGAAGTAAAGATCACAGGAAGAATCAGAGCCCTCTCCCCCATCTTCCCCCTGCCCCAACTTGATCTTTTCAAAAGTAGCAGCAGGCAGAAGTTCACCAGGTGAAGCTCCGATCTGGGCTTTGGCTAGCCTACCTTTCCTTGCAATCCTTACAACCCTCGACTGACAACAATTTATTTAGTGACCGTTCGAAGTTACAACAGCACTGAAAAAAATGTGACTTAACAACCATTTTTCACACTTACGACTGCGGCAGCCTCCCCGGGGCCACGTGATTTCCATTCAGATCCATTGATGACTGGTTCCTATTTATGACGGTTGCAGCGTCTCCCCCGGGGTCACGTGATCCCCTTTTACGACCTCCCAACCAGCCAAGTCAATGGGGAAGCCAGATTCACTTAACAACCGTGTGACTCATTTAACAACTGTAGGGATTCACTTAGCAACTGTGGCCAGAAAAGTCGTAAAATGGAGCAAAAGTCACGTAACAAACTTCTCGCTTAGCAATTTTGGGCTCGGTTGCGTTCGTATATCAAAGATTACCCGTATTCCTGTTGCGGGTTTGTAGGTGGGTGTGGGTGTGCAAAAGACTCACTTCTTAGGGGTGCAAAGTTCTGCCTTGCCTGGTGCAGGTTCCCCTCCCGGCCTTTCCTGCCCCGTTTCTCCTCCCCCCACGCCAAGGAGAGGCTGGGCAAGGACAGTGGCCTCTGGGTCTCTGCCAGCTGGGCCTCTTCCGAGCATCCATCCGTGCCAAGAATTTATGTCCCGGCTCTAATAAACCGCCAAGATCCTGCGGTGTTTCTGCTGACGATTCTGACTCGTCACCAGAACCGCTCGGAAAGCAAGACTTTGCCCCCTGCCAGTCCTTTGCCCAAGGGGCCAGTCCAGCCTGTGGCAAAGGGCGAGCAGTTCATGCCAGTCTCTGAGCATTGGCAGATTTCTCTAAGTCTCTTGCAAGCTGCTCTGTATGGTTTTTTTTTTCTTTTTGTTTTTCAATGCACTGATTCCAGAGATGGCTTTGCTAGATGTGCTATTTTTTGACAAATCGGCTAGAGCAGTTAGTTCCCTGATCATTTGTGGAAATGTTTTCTGCCTTAAGAAAGATATAGAGGACTAGAAACATGACGGCAACAGCATTTGGCGAGAAAGAAGCTGGGATATAAACAGGGGTGTCAGAAAAAGGGGTTCGGTGGCTCTCAGGAGCGTTTAGGTCCCTAGGGCCATGTTTCTCAACCTTGGCCACATTAAGAGATCTGGGACTTCAACTCCCAGAATTCCCCAGCCAGCATGGTTACCCACTGGGAGGGGAATGATTTGATTTGTGGGGCCTGCAGTTTGAATCCTCCAGCCCCAGGGAGTTACGCAAACAGCATTTTATCACAGCGGATACTTGCAAATGGCTTCTGGGAAAAATAAAAGAAGGCAAGGGTCTTCCTAATCTCAGCTGGGTGGGAATCCTTGCCTTCCGTTCTCCCCGTCTCCTTTTGTGGGACCCCCGTGGCGAATTTGGCCTGGAGTTTTGAGTGGTTGTCTGAAGGTTGCCTTTTCACAAATGGGTCTTTTTCCTCCTCTTTCTCCACAGAATTCAAAAACGGTACAAGGTCTGACTGGTCTCCGAAACCTCGGGAACACTGTAAGTCTCCCTCCTTTCCTCCATTCCTTCCTTCCCTCCCTTATCCCTCCCTTCCTCCTTTCACCTTCCTTCCCTCCCTCCATTATTCCTCCCTCCCTCCCTCCCTCCCAGAGCTGCAGCTAAGCTCTCCAACCTGGGCTGGTTGGGACTGGTTGAGGAAGCTGAGTTGCCTTTGCTGGCTGTTTTACCTCATTTCCGCTTCTCGGATGACACTGTGAGGAGTTTTGTTCTCACTTGTACAGAAGGAAGGGGAGAGCCCAAAAAGAGTTGTGTAACTATTTCAGACAACAGTGTCACCCTGCCCCACCCAGATGTGACAACTCCAAGGCAAAGAAGATGTATTTCCATCCAGAGAGGGTAAAGGCAAGTAGTGGCCTGCAACACCAGGAAGCCTCCAGTCCTCTCCATTCCAACACACACACACAATTTCTCTGGTCCCTGAACCCTCCCTTGATAGCTACATCAGCACACTTTTCTGTCATTTTGAGCAAGGAAGATCTGCTGTAAATTATCCTTCTCATAGTAGGCTCAGTCAGTGGTGGGATTCAAGCATGTGAACAACCGGTTCTCTGTGTGGATGCCGCTTCCGGAAGTCCATTCTGAGCCTGGGCAATGAAAACGTAGCTACCGTTTCTGCGAAGTGGTGCAAACTGGCTGAATCCCACCACTAGGCTCAATATAGTTGGGGAGAGGAGGGGAGGGAGGAGAAAGGGAGGGGAAAGGAAGGAAAGGAAACAAAAGGAAATGAAAGGAAAAAAGAGGGAGGGAGGAAAGGAAAGGAAAAAAGAAAAAGAAAAAGAAAGCAAATTTTTCATGCCACAAATCTGACATGGCTAATCTCACTTCCCTTCGCTGTAACCTAGCCTTATGTGCCTCTTCTACCACCAGAAGCTCTTTGGGAGTGAGAGAGTCAAGATATCTTATAAAACAATAAATGAACATGGGGGAATTGAGCACTGAAGTTCACACACACACACACACTTCTAGAGCTAGCATTGGCTGTGTAGGTGGGTTCCCCTTTGGTGCCCATGGGAGGGAGGGAGGGAGGGAGTTCCTTCTTGGGCAAACATCTACTGGGTCCTCCTCCCAACCACAAGAAGAGAGAAAGGAACCAGCATCTGACTTCCTTCTTGCTACCATCCCCCCAAATAATCTGCTGATGGCTGATGGAGGCTGATGTGTCTGATGGAGGAGGAAGAGAAGGAGCAGAGCCAGTAGTAGTAGTAGTAGTAGTAGTAGTAGTGGTGGTGGTAGTAGTAGTAGTAGTAGTAGTAGTGATTGTTGCTACTCCACCTGCTCCCCAAAGATGGGATCTGGCTTGAAGGATGGAGGAAGACCTTGCAGGGAAGATCTGAGGGCTCCATAAAGTCATTTAGAGCCCCATCTTAAAAGCTTCACTTTAGGAAGCCAGCAAACGAAGCCCATCACCAGCCAGTGGTGGGCATCTCTGCACAGGAGTGACAAACTGTGTGTGTGACTTGTGTGCACAAGTGCATCGTAGCATGAGTCAGTCACAGATGCAATGGAACACTGTGGGTGAGCAGGAAAAAAATAAACCCAAAAAACCCTTCTACTTCTCCTTGGGTGTTTTAATTATTTTCTCACCATAGTAACGGCTCGGTGCCATTTTATATTTTAAAGTTTCTTTAAACTAAAACCTGATCTTCCGAAGAAATCGGAAGGGTGCCTAGATTTTTTTTTTTTTAACAGGGTCCATCCTGGCACAGAGTTTAATGAAGGTCATAGTCAGCGACACCTTTTAGTTTGCCAGGGGCATAAAAAATACACCTTGCATAGCAGATAAACTTTCCAAATCTGCTGCTCTCCAGAGGGTTGGCGCTGCCCGTTCCACACTGCCCGGCTGGTGTGTCTAATTCTTTTTCTGAAAACAGTTCCTGGAGGCATGCTCATCAAAGGGGTCCAAAATTCTAGCGAGGAGGAGGCACCCGGGCGGATGTCACCTGGAGGAAGGACAGGGGGTGGAATGGACGATGGCCTGGCGACCTTCATTTGGGTCTCTCTTTCCTGCCCCTTGTAGTGTTTTATGAACTCCATCCTGCAGTGCCTGAGTAACACCAAAGAGCTGCGAGATTACTGCCTGCAGAGCCAATATGTCCGTGATCTCAACAACAACAGCCGCATGCAGACGTCTCTCATGACAGGTAAAGGCGGCGAGGTTTTGCACGGGCACAACTGCACAATGGCGAACAGTGCAGGCAGATATCGGTCTTCCCTCTCCTGAAGACACTTCATGGTAGGGGGCTAGAAAGGAGGGGGAGAAAGCTGAACCAGATGACTTTCAAAATTTCAAATCAAAGAATATTTATAGCTCAGGGTTGAAATGAAGGGTCCTTGCTGCTTTCCTCTGAGCCTGGTTGTTTTCTTGCAGACATTTCATTGTCCAACTAGGTAACATCATCAGTGCTAGTCCTGGTTATGTTACCTAGTTTGGGCCATGAAACGTCTGCAAGAAAACAACCAGGTCAGGGAGCACCAAGGACTCCTCAATCCCTTGAATTCTTCTCTCCTCTTTTTTTCTCACTTCCCTGCTCTTTTGGGCAGTTGTTAACAACATGGATGCTGGCCACGAGGGCCCCACAGGTCTCCTTTAATGTTGATCACAGCTAGGAAGTAAGCTAGACCTCGTGGCTCTCCACAGAAACCCACCTTGGTCTAGAAAGGATGGAACAAGATCTGGTTCTTCATGGCCAAGTTGGGTTCTTCTGTGCTTGTGGGTTCACAACCACCTTGCTTCCCCCCCCTCTTTCCAGAATTTGCCAAGCTCATCCAGATGTTGTGGACCTCGTCTCCCAATGAATCCGTGAGCCCTTCCGAATTCAAGATGCAGATTCAACGATACGCTCCCCGCTTTGTGGGATACAAGTAAGAGTGCGATCTAGTACCTTCTCTTCTGTTTTCCATGAGTGGCCATTCCTCCCTTGCTTCTTCTTCAGTCTCAGTAGTAGTGCTTTCAGCATTTGCTAGCTCTGGATTCCTTCATAGCAAGCCAGTGCTCTGTAGATCTTTGGGACTACAACTCCCATTCCTTGGCATTCAGCATGCTGGTAGGGAATAAAGGATGCTTCTAGCAGACCGAAAGATAGCCAACACTGCTTCACAGTGTCCCATCTTTCCAAATCTGATGAAGAGAGAGAGAGTTAGTTTGACCAGTTTCCTTTTTCCTTTCCTTTCCCTTTCCCTTTCCCTTTCCCTTTCCCTTTCCCTTTCCCTTCCCTTTCCCTTCCCCTTCCCTTTCCTTCCCTTCCCTTCCGTTCTGTTTCCTTCCTCAGTAATCTATCCTAACCATCCAGAATCACTTTGAATAGTGAGATGGGTGGCTTATATATTTGAGAAACAAATAAAAATAAACACACTCCCTTGAATATCTCCAGAAGGACTCTTATAAGATAGGAGGGGGAGGGAGAGAGTCGCTTTATTCTTCCTCAAGGCTTCTTCTCCCAGGCTCCCTTGGTGGGTCCTGACTCCACGGGCTTAGATTGACACCTGTCCTTCCTCTCTCGCAGCCAGCAGGACGCCCAGGAATTCCTGCGCTTCCTTCTCGATGGGCTCCACAGTGAAGTGAACCGGGTTCTGGTCCGTCCAAAAGGCCACAGTGACAACCTGGACCATCTACCGTGAGTCCCAGCAGAAGCAAAGCACCGGGATAAGCTTTGTGTGTGGGGGGGGGGCTGGAGACAACTGGGCGCTGATGCCCCTGACATAAAACAACGGCGGCGTTTCTGTTTCTTCTTTCGTTGTTTCCCCTCCGTCTAATGGCACAAATCATTCCTCCTGCAGAAAATTAGTTAAAAAAGGAAGAAAGCAAAGTATGAATAAGGATCTGTGGAAAATTTTAATTTTAATTTAATTTAATTCTGAACCCCACGACCCGCTAGCTGAAAAAGAGCAGGGACCTTGCATAGCGAAGGGGGAGGATTACAAAGCCCATGGTCTTTGAGGCCGCCTCCCTCCATCCCGGGGGCTTCTGGGAGAATCATCCATGCTGATCTCAGCTGAGAAAACCTCTTCACCTTCTCTCTTGCGTGTCTCTGGCAGGGACGACGAGAAGGGGAGGCAGATGTGGATGAGATACCTAGCAAGAGAAGACAGCCGGATTGGGGGTGAGTATCTGGTGGAGCAGTCCCCCCCCCAAAAAAGGAGTTTGGGGGCTGCCGGATCCGAGGCAAAAGGTCCACCTCAACCATGGCGACTTTCAGAGGGGTGGACTTCAGTTCCCAGAATTCCCTAGTCGGCATGCTTTAAAGAGGGGTGGACTTCCCCTTCTAGAATCCCACAGCCAGAATTCTTAAATCCTTGACATCTTCAAGTTGCCAAGGTTAAGAAAAACCGAATTAAGATGTACCATGGTTTGGCTAACTTTCTGGACCGAGATACCCATTTGGACTTTGGATAGCATGTCTGGAGGAGTGTCTCAGAAAGGGGTCTGTTATAGGAGAGGGGAGGGTCAAACCCCATTTCCAACTAGAGGATCTCCCTACCAGCCCCTCTGCCTTTTTCTTTCCTTCACCCACTCCTGGGAATTCTCTGTCAATTGAGTTGCTGGTCACACAGGAATAAGAAGGACTAGCAGCATCAGGTTTTTTTACTGACAAAACGCACTGGGAGTGATCTGTGTTACTCAGTCCTAGCTAATTTAAGGCCAGCATGTGCTGCCTGGGGAATTCTGGGAGTTGAAGTCCACATGTCTTAAAGTAGCCATGGTTGAGAAACATTGGCTTAGATTGACATGGCCATCAACCGTGTCCTTCGCTGCTTGTGGATTTCAAAGATGGTTAAATCTTCAAAAACACCCTAATGAGCCTAATCAGCATAACTACCTCTTTAAAAACTGGTTTAAATAATAGTTCCTTTTTGTTCAAGCTTGCCACTTTCTTTCAGTTTCATTTCCTTTTAAAATTTGTATACCAGGTCGGGTTTGATCTTGGTGTTCTCGGATCAAAGCCAGGAAAAGCAACTGTTCATTGAATTTGTTCATTGAACTGTTGATATTTATAGAACTCTGACTAAATATTGTTAACAGAACTTATCCAATGTCATTTTGTAAAAACGTCCTTAGATATTTCAAAGCAACATTTCAATTGCAACGAAGTGTGGGTATTATTATTTTTTAGTAGTTAACCTGGCTATCAAATCCACTCAAATTACCTTTTTCTCTTTTTACTGTATTAATCTTCCTAATGCTGGAAAACCCCCCCCCCCATTTGACAAACTAAACGCATGCTAACTTTTTAGAAAAACGTTTTGACCTTTCAAACGGCCAAACCTTGTTCATTCAGTTCTAGGTCACCTGGTGATTCAAGGCCACAGAAGAAGCTGTGTTAAATTTGTGGCTGCAATTAACATGTTTGCTTCCCAGCAACTAAACTGGCAACCCATCAGGTTGGGAATCAGCAGCCACAAAGTTCAAAGAGCATTTCCCAATCTCTGAAATTCCTCAGCTGATTTTGGAAGAACGTAAAACTGATCTCTACCACGCTTAGATCTAGGCATGGGAAGAGAAGCCTCAAAAGGCCTTGAGGAATCTGGAGTTGAGATCCAAAATCCCAGTCAAGACTTTGAAGCTTCTTTCTAAAACTTACATTAAAACACTGACTTTTGCTGCCACTGTTGCACATCACACCTGTCCACGTAACTAGACCATGGGTAACTCCTACGCAGAGAAGCATCAGTGAACAACATTGTCCTCAGCTTGCACAACAAATGAGGTCAAAAGCAAGTTGCCTGGTTTGTGACTAAGGGTATTGAGATGACACAGCCATGAGATCAGATCCTCTGTTCTCGTTCTTGGATGACGTGAAGCATCTCTTCAAGCGTTCAGGCAGGAGAAGGTCCGTCTTTTCCCTCCGTACCATCTGCTTGGTCACCCATCTTTATATTCCCCGTCTTCTCTTTCTTTAGATCTCTTTGTTGGGCAGCTGAAGAGTTCCTTGACCTGCAGTTCTTGTGGCTATTGCTCCACCGCCTTTGATCCCTTCTGGGACCTGTCCCTGCCCATTGCCAAGGTAACCCTCCATGCCCTGGGGCTCCTATTTGACCCCCAGATCTGTCTCTTCTTGCATTGGGAACCTAACCTCTTGGACCTTGGTTTCTCTCTCTCTTTCTCTCTCTCTCTCTCTCTTTCTCCTCCTTCGGCAGAAAAGCTACGGCGAGGTGAATTTGATTGACTGCATGCGACTCTTCACCAAGGAAGACGTTCTGGATGGAGACGAGAAACCCGTAAGTCCAGATGGGGAGGGGAGTGCAAAAAACTCATCAGTCAGGTTTCTGCACCCAGTTCACGTCTCCTATTCCAAATATTTCTGAGCCCTCGATTTCAAAATCAGCCACCGGGTGGATTTTTAAAAACTTTCTGATTTGGAGTTTTGCACAAGATGGTGATGATGATTTTAAGAATCATAAAGTTGGAAGGAACCTGGGAGGTCTTCCAGTCCGACTTTGGAAGTTATTTCTTTGGTTTTGGAAAAGCTTGTTGCAAAAGCTGGATCTACGTTTCAAGATTAATGGGTTGGGAAACATCAGACATGCCTACTCTTCTTCTTAACTGTTGCTTTGTGTGGTGGCTGTGACAGCCTCTGGCTCATGTGAAGCTTAACAGAACATAACAGAATAACAGACTTGGAAGGGACCTTGGAGGTCTTCTAGTCCAACCCCCTGCTCAGGCAGGAAACCCTGTACCATTTCAGACAAATGGCTGTCCAGTCTCTTCTTAAAAACTTCCAGTGTTGGAGCATTCCCAACTTCTGGAGGCAGGTTGTTCCACTGGTTAATTGTTCTGACTGTCAGGAAGTTTCTCCTTAGTTCTAGGTTGCTTCTCTCCTTGATTAGTTCCATCCGTTGCTTCTTGTCCTGCCTCCAGGCGCTTTGGAGAATAGCTTGACCGCCTCTTCTTTATAGCAGCTCCTCCAATATTGGAAGACTGAGAAAATGTCACCCCTAGTTGATAATCTTAAATTTAGGATTTTTGACCTGTGGAGGAGCTGAGTCCATAATGGGAGGGCTGCCTTGAAGGTTTCCATCAACCTGCCCACGTCAGTTTTCCTCTAAAAATAAGGGGTTTTCTTGGTGAAATCAAATTCGGCCCCGCTGGTCTTCCACTGGCTGCCCTTGTGCTTAACCTGGCCCTTTCAGCTGATCTAGCCAATCCTTGCTACTCTTTCCCCCCAGCTGGGGCCACAGGTCCAATGTCTCTCTCACACACACATCTCCAGGGGTCCTCCCCTAAACCCTGGTTGTTGTTTGTCCCTGCAGACGTGCGGCCACTGCAAAGCGAGGACGAAATGCATGAAGAAATTCAGCATTCAGCGCTTCCCCAAGATCCTGGTTTTACGTATCCTTTCTTTTTGCCAGAGGGTGTGGCCCGACCGACTTATTTATTTATGAAATGGATTTGCCGTCCATCTCGTATCCAACCACTATGGGAGGCTACATGGCGAGGAGACCTCACCTGCAGATGAGCGGTGACGTGACGGGTTTCTGTTAGCATCCGACACTTTTACTGGACCCAGAATCCAGCCGGTGGAGGACTTAGCTTGAACAGTCTATTATTTCAAGATTCTAGTCCTCTTGGGTTTGAGAATGCTCAGGGTTTTTTTTTTCAGTGCAGTAGAATATAAAAGAAAAGTACAGCCTCAACCTTTTGCTTTCCATTTCTTGTAGTTAAGGCACCAGGCTAGAAAGCGGGAGATCATGAGTTCAAGTCCTGACTTAGCCATGAAAGCCGGCTGGATGACCTTGGGCCAGTCCTTCTCTCTCTCAGCCCAACCCACCTCACAGGGTGGTTGTCGGGAAAATAGGAGGAGGAGGACGTTGTGTTGGATATGTTTGCTGCCTTGAATTATTTGTTAAAAATAACAAAATATAAAAGAAATAAATGAATAAAGATCCTTCCATTGTGGGAACCATTTGCCCCCACCCCCTTTTTCCTTAATTCCTCGCCCAGACCTGAAACGTTTCTCCGAAGCCAGGATGCGATCCAGCAAACTCACCACTTTTGTCAATTTCCCACTGAAGGATCTGGATCTACGGGAATTTGCCTCCCAGAGTTGCAGTGAGTATCTCCTGCAGCTTTTGGAAGAACCAGCCGGGGTGGGGGGGGTCATCTAGGCCAGCAGCCCCCAACCTTTTGGGCACCAGGGACCACTTTCATGGAGGGGAGTTTTTCCATGGACCTGGGAGGGATGTGGTGTCAAGCCCTGCCTCACCCCACATGTGTGTTTATGGGGCTTTGCTCGCTTGCACAGACCAGTTCCTGGCAGGCTGTGGACCAATCTAGGCCAAGCAGGGTGAGTAACTAAGGATAGACCTCTGAACTTTCTTCCCCACAAGTCCAGTTAAACAAGTGCACACAAACACAGCCTGGTTGTTTGATTCCACCCTCTGCCTGGAATTTTAAAGGAAACCCGAAGTGAGATTCACTTCTTGGACCTGTTCAGAAGGTCTTCATTTTGGAAAACGTTTGAAATGAGACCCCCCGCAGGAGTGGATCCAGTCTGGGAGATCCATTTCGTTATTTGTTTATATTACACATTTCTCAACAGGCCAATTCCCTCCAAGAGGGACTCTTGCACCATGAAACAACACGTGGACGATACGTGCGCCACCATTTAAATCTAGTTTTCAGAATGGTTGAAAAAAAACTGGGGTTGTCCTTTTCTCTCAGGGCCTCCGCCCACCGCCCACATTTTAGGAAAAAACAAAGAAGTTGAGCGACCGGTTTTGAGGAAGGCTTACAAAATTTGTGAGGGAGCAGCAATGTTTCACCTTGGTACCCTCTCCAGAACCACCGTTGTGAGATGGGCGGCTACGTTAATAATATAAAATAATAATGAGATAAAAATAAAGATTAAAAACTTCTCCCTCCGAAAGTCCTATTGGGAGCCAAGATTGTGATGAAGGGATTTTTTTTTAAATTTCATCTTTTTGCAAAAATCAGACTTTCCATGAACATTAAACCAGGGCAAATCCTGCTAGCGATATTTGGGGAGTGCAATTGCAGGCTTCCGATCCAGGCCATGTCAGGCTTTTGCACACCCAGCGGTGAACGAAAGCCTCACACGACGGCAATTTGGCTTCTTCCGTTTTCAGATCACGCAATCTACAACCTCTATGCCATCTCCAACCACAGCGGGACCACGATGGGTGGCCACTACACGGCCTACTGCAAGAGTCCCGTCTCCGGAGAATGGCACGCCTTCAACGACTCACGGTAAGCGGGCACCTGGCCTTTCCGTTCACGATCCCAACTCTTTCCCCAAGCAGGAGAGGTCAACCATCTTGCTCAGCCACAAAAATGTTGAGCTCAATTCTGGCTGTAAGTTGAGGACTGCATGTGGTTCTGTGTTCGCGTGTCATCATTCAGCCCAGAAAACAAATTCTCCCTTTCAAAAGGCAGAGTTTTAGTCCTCAAACTCTCTTACTAATCCAGGTTTCCTTTCCTTTCCTTCCATTTCCTTTCCTTTCTTTCCATTTCCTTTCCTTCCATTTCCTTTCCTTTCTTTCCATTTCCTTTTCTTCCCTTTCTTTTCCTTCCATTTCCTTTCCTGTACCTTCCATTTCCTTTCCTTTCCTTCCATTTCCTTTTCTTCCATTTCCTTTCCTTTCCTTCCATTTCCTTTCCTTTCCTTCCATTTCCTTTCCTTTCCTTTCTTTCCATTTCCTTTGCTTCCATTTCCTTTCCTTTCCTTCCATTTCCTTTCCTTTCCTTCCATTTCCTTTCCTTTCCTTTCTTTCCATTTCCTTTGCTTCCATTTCCTTTCCTTTCCTTCCATTTCCTTTCCTTTACCTTCCATTTCCTTTCCTTTACCTTCCATTTCCTTTCCTTTCCTTCCATTTCCTTTTCTTCCCTTTCTTTTCCTTCCATTTCCTTTCCTTTACCTTCCATTTCCTTTCCTTTATCTCCCATTTCTTTTCCTTTCCTTTCCTTCCATTTCCTTTCCTTTCCCTTCCATTTCCTTTCCTTCCATTTCATTTCTCTTTTCTTTTCTTTTCTTAACTAATCAGTATAACGTTCAGGTAGTCCTCAGTTTACGACTGGTCGCTTAGCGACCATTTGGAATTACAGTGAGCCCAGAATGGGTTTACAGCCCATAAAGTACTTGTGGCCATCGTAAAATGTGCCCCACACATGCACACTCTGTCTCATGACACCTGCGCCCATCTTTGCAACCAGTCGCAGCATCCTGCAGTCACCTGACCACGATTTGAGACTATTTTGCCGATTTCCAGCAAAACAAAACCCACCCATTCAGAAGAATGGCTTCATACTTACAACCGAAGCGTTCCCTTATCAATCACAGTAATTCATTTAAGGTCCACCGGAAAAATTGTCCTTGAATCAGCTCCAGTCACATGGATGCCTTGACTTAGGACCCCAGTGACATATGAGCAGAAATCTGCTCCTAATTGTAGTCATAAGTCAAGGGTTATCTGTACTCCCCATCTTTACCCCTTAGGGCTGGAGGGAGTGTGGGTCAGAACCAGCCAGAAATTAAAGTAGGTGTCTTTCCCTGCCAGTTTTCCTTACGTCTGTTCTTCATTTACACCCCACCCCGTCCCAGACGGGTCTACCCCCCTCTTAACGCCGGTTTCGCTTTCTGTTCCTCCCGCAGCGTCACGCCGATATCCCTGGGCCATCTCCGCAGCAGCGACGCCTATCTCCTCTTCTACGAGCTGGCCAGCCCGTCTTCCCGAATGTAGCTCCCAGGTCACGCTCCCCACCACCACCACCACCACCACCACGCAGGTCCCTCTGGAAAGGAATCCTCGTAATATCCCAGAGGAAGGGCGCAAGCCAAGCACCAGCTCGGGAGAGGGTGGGGAACGTGGAGACCCAGGACAACGGTGATCGGAGGGATTTTTTTTTCTAAGCTGGGTTTCCCCCCCCTTTTTTCCTAAAAAACAAGCAAAAGCAAAAAAAGAGAGAGAGAGAGAGAGAGAGAAAGTGAGGGAGGGAGAAAATGCTAATAAAGCGTTAACTAAAGTTGCCGGCCTTTAAGGGGACGCCTTTCTCCCACATACGGGACTAAAGGTGGAGAAAACCAGCGAGAAAACACCGTCCTTGGTGGGCAGGTTCCACGTCGCTCCAAAAATGTTCTCAGGGGTGGTTTCCTATATTTCCCTTCCCTCCCTTTTCCTTCTCCCTTTCTCTCCTCGTCTGCGCACACTCCTCCTATTTCACAATTTGGTGTTCCCTAAGCCACAAACAGCTGCTGCTCTTTTGAGGGGGGGGCAGGAACCTGTCTCTCCCCCTGTGTTCCCTTGGGGGTGTTGGAGCTGAGCCACGGAGGTGTTTTCTCCCTGTCCGATGCCAGTCGGGCGCCACTTCATCCAGGAAGTTGCAGAACTAGATGAGGTTTACTGAAATCCAATTTTGCATCTTAGATCCAGGCAAGGTGCGTCGGTTCCTGGACAGTTTTTGCACAACTCTTGCACGACCCTCCGTGGGAGTTGCAAGGGATTTCTCTGCAGGAACCGTGGGCTTCAAGTCCTATCTCTTCACGTCAGGTGGGGGCTGCTGTTGGTGTCTTTTTTTTCTTTTTTTTACAAACTGGAAGCATTTGTGGATGGATTTTATGGACTTTATTCACAAAAGCAGAGACTCGCTGGGTCAAGTTCTACCCGTTTCCTTGTCACGACCGTGCCTTAATGCCTCCAGACGAAAGACACGATGCATTTTCAGCGGGGATCCAAATGCCCTTCAAAAAAGGGACACGAGGGCACAACCAGCAGAAATTTGACCCCTTCCCTCGGCTTTCTTCTCCTGCTGTCCCAACCCCGGCTTTACCTCACTGCACCATTCACACATGTAGATATTTCTCTCCTTCGTCCTGGGACGGAGGCCATTCAGGAACGCTTTGGACCGTTTGCATTGCCTTTCCGGAATGAGGATTGCTTAGGTTCGGTTTTCGTTTTGGTTCTCATGATGTGCACGCCGGGGAGTCGCCCAAACGCACCTCGTTGGAGGTTTTTTTGAGCCAGTTTGGGAGCGATGGCCTTGGAGGGCCAGCTAACCAGCATCAGCAAACTCCTTCATCCTCTTATTTATTCTCCCATCCCGCACGGTCAACCTTTCAGCCCACATTTGAAGCAGGCACTACTTGAAGCGCTGGGAGTTAAGAGGCACCTTTATGGTTTTGCAACCAGACAACATTCATTGGGTAGAAATCCCCCTCCCCGGTTTTATTTCCCTCCCCTTTTTATCCCCTGCCCCTCACAAAGCTCTGAAAAAGCACCAAGCCGACTTTAAATGACAGCCGCCCCAGTTTTGAATTAAGCAGAGCATTGAGGTCAGTTTTAGTGAGCATCTTGGTTTGCAGCCCAAGGGATGCCACTCGACCCCTTTCTACCAATCTCACGGCCTTTCCCACCCCAAAAAATGCCCCCCTTGCATATTTCACTCCATTTCAAGCGGGCAGATGCTCAGGACCCCGAGGGGAAGGCAGAAGGGGTAACCCAGATGTCCAGGGTCCTGCTAGCACAGCCTTTCTCAGTGTTACTATTTTGCTTGGTTTGGGACGGGGTAGTTTTGTTTTGGTTTTTTTTTGTTTGTGTTTGCTTTTTTGGTTTATCAGTTTGGACTGAACAGCTTGTTTACTGTGTAAGCAAGGCTGGGGGAGGGACTGTGGTCGCTCAGGAAGGAGGCTTGTACAGAAATAAAATTGTAACTTGATGAACACCCACTGCGTTTGTGCACAAGTGTCTGTAAATGGTGGGCGAGAAATCTTTCTGATGGGAAGGGTGGGCTGTGCGGTAAGAAGCCCCCCAGCCGCTGATGAGCTGTGGGGTTTTGACTCCTGCTGGATTTGCCACAATCACTGGGGTAGGCATCTGGATGGTGGACCCAATGCATTTTCTCGGAAGGAGGAGGGCTCGGCTGGCGGACCTCAGGATTCCTTCGGGGGTTGGACACAACATATGTAGGCTGTACTTCTGCAGGAAAAGCTGAAGGACGTTGCTGTCTATTCACAGGCATGAGGTGTTGCAGGACAGGGGGGCCCACTTTGCTCAAATATGAATTGAATTGAATACTTTATTTGGCCATGTGTGATTAGACACACAAGGAAATTAACCTAGGAGAGAAGCAACCTAGAACTAAGGAGAAATTTCCTGAAAATTAGAACAATTAATTAGTGGTACAACCTGCCTCCAGAAGTTGTGGGTGCTCCATCACTGGAAGTTTTCAAGAAGAGACTGGACAGCCATTTGTCTGAAATGGTATAAGGTTTCCTGCCTGAGCAGGAGGTTGGACTAGATGATCTCCAAGGTCCCTTCCAACTTTTTATTTATTATTATTATTATTATTATTATTATTATTATTATTATTATTATTATTATTATTATTATTATTATTATTATAGACTGGACAGCCATTTGTCTGAAATGGTATAGGGTTTCCTGCCTGAGCAGGGGGTTGGACTAGATGACCTCCAAGGTCCCTTCCAACTTTATTATTATTATCATCATCATCATCATCATCTCCGGCGCAGAAGCTCTCCGTGTACATGCAAAACAGCAGAGTAATAATGTAATCCTTATAATGAAACCAATAAGAGAAGGTGGTAGAACAAAAGAGAAGGATAACAGTAATACAGCCATACTACATGAGTAAATAACCTTAGACGTAAGACCGTACTGTGGGAATTAGGTGTTCAGCAGAGTGATGGCACAAGGGAAGAAAATGGTCTAGTTGTTTGGGCACGCAGTGTGCCCTGTAGCGCCCTCCCATGGCAGAAGAGAGGAGCCAGGAGCTTTTGATGCTCTGGGACGTGGGAGGGGACGGGTGTGGGCTCCAAAATGCATCTTCCATTTTTGCACAGTGGGGAAAAAGTGTGATCGCATTGAGGTAGTCTTTGACATGCAATTATTCCTTGAGTGAACATTCAAAGCACTGAAAAAGATAACTTGTGGCCTTTCCTCACACTTACGACCTTGGCAAGCATCCTCACAGTCACGTGATCAAAATTCGGAAGCCTGGCAACTGGTTCATGACGCAGGATGGTTGCAGCCTCCCAGGGTCACGTGATCCCCTTTTGCGACCTCCTGACAAGCAAAGCGAACAGGGAAGCCAAAAATCACTTAACAACCGTGTGACTAATTTAGCATTTGCAGCGATCCACTTAACAGCCGTGGCAACAAAGGTCGTAAAATGGGGCAAAGTTCACTTAACTCTCTCGCTTAGCAATGGAAAGTACGGGCTCAGGTGTGATCATAAGTCGGGGCCCATCTGTGAGATTGTTTGTTGCTGTGTGGTGGTGTACGATCCCCGGAGAAAGTGACTTTATACCTTTCTTAAGGGTTGGGCTAAAGCCAAAGTGAGGCTCGATCGCCTTCGTCACCTGCAGCTTGGCTCGCTGATACGAGCTAGGCGTTCTTCTCTTTCCTGGAACTCACCTGATCCTTCCCAGCGGGACACCCTGGCTGAGTTAATTGCCTCTCCGGCTTACAAAAGGCGGACTAACCTCCGTAGCAAGATTAGGGAGGCAAAGGCAGCCAAGGGTGCGGATTAATCATTGAAAAACAAACTTGGGTCCCTGTAAGGAGCCGGCGTTCTTTCCCAAGCAATTGAGCAGGCAAACAATGACCTCTTTGTCCCCGGCCTTCAGGAACAGACCAGAAAGGTTTTGCAATCACTCTACGGGCCGCTTGGAATGTGCGTCTCTTAGCAACATGCCCGGTCCTGTGGAAAGGACGGCACTGCCAATGCCAGTCTGACGCAACGGTAAGGAAGAGAGCTTTGGCACCCAGGAAGGACGGGGAGTCCTCGACTGGAATTTCCATTGCTGAGCAAGGTGGCCATTCAGGGAGATGCACCCAATTTTACGACCGTTTTCGCCAGGGTTGTTAAGCGAATCACTGCAGGCATTGTGGATCACAGGGTCGTTTCAGTGAATCTGGCTTCTCCCGTTGGTCTTTTTTTTTTTTCCCCTTGTTGGAAGCTGGCTGGGAAGATCCCAAGTGGCGACCCCAGGATGCTGTAATGGTCAGAAATATATGCTGGTTGTCCAGTGCCTGAATTGTGATCACGTGACTGTGGGGATACAGGTAGTCCTCGACTTAACAACGGTTCATTTAGTGACCGTTCAAAGTTGTAACCGCTCTGAAAAAAAGTGACACGACCATTTTTCACACTTACAACCGTTGCATGATTAATAATTATAACTAAGATCTATGATATATGACCTATCATTTTGTTGTTTGTATGTACACTGAGAGCTTCTGCACCAGAGAAAAATTCCTTGTGTGTCCAATCACACTTGGCTAACAAAGAATATTTTATTCTGTTCTGTTCTTGTTCTTGTTCTGTTATTCTGTCCTAATCTGTCCTAGTCTGTCCTGTTCTATTCCATTCCATTCCATTCCATTTTTCTACTCTACTCTACTCTACTCTACTCTACTCTACTCTACTCTACTCTACTCTACTCTCTATTCTATTCTATTCTACTCTACTCTACTCTACTCTACTCTATTCATCCTATCCTATTCTTTCATTTTGAAGGACTTGGCCACCCTTTGTTTTTTGTAGGATCCTTTGTGATACTTGCACTATATTTAGCAAAATATAATGCAAAAGTGCAACTATTTTTCATCACCACTTCTGTAGCATCCCACCCAAAATTGGGAAATATATATAAATATATGCCCCTTTGGGGAGACATTTGCTTGTTCAGATGCCCAGGTCCAGCCGGGCAGTGCTGTATCTTTAAGAGCACCGTAGCCCATGCCAGGGCCTCTGACCTGGCGGAGTCCTCAGCTGAGTTGGATTAAGGCACTGGGGCGCCTGGTGGCTTTCATGCTTGCGCATTCTTTCTTTTCCTAGCAGTTTAACAAGTCCCTTTTCCCAAGGCTCTGTTGGCCAGGAATGGGCTGTGGTCTTGAAAGCAAGATCTAGGGCCGGTTGGTTGAATCAACCCATCACCCTCTCCGGGAAGGAGAAAAAAATCCATCAATTTGCAGCCCCATCTCGCCCTTTGGACATCTTTTACCAAGGAGAAGAATTTTTGGTCCATGCGGTGAAGAGCAAAGGTTTCCTGGAAGCTCTGCCACTGAAGAAAGCCAGATGCCACAGGAGGGGGGGACATGTGGCAGCCCCAGACAGGCAGGGATCCTGTCCATGTATTCCCCAACCTCCTTCTTGGCAATGAAGGACTTCACCAAGGCCATCTGTCACCCGGAGGCACAGAATCAAAACCAGGTATGCACAGACCAGCTGCTTTGATGATGCTTTGAGCTCCACATCACCAACCAACGGGGATCAGGGATGTCCACTGTCCATCCTCTGTGTGTTGCATGATTGTGGCCATCATAATGACCTTTTTTTGTAACATCCTATGGAACCCCCATTAGGGAAAACACCCAAAGATTTTGCCTAACCTCTTCCCTAAGGGGAAATTTGAAAAGCCATGCTGAAATCTCCATAAATATAGCTCTCCCCCCCCCCCCAGTTTCAGTCTTCTGGTGTGTTCACTTCCTGGATCTCTGGAAATTATGTTTTGTTAGAGTGCACATCCCTGGGGAGGAAGGGACCTTGTGGCGAGCAGCACATCATGAGAAGCCAACTTCCTTTGGAGAGGGTTACTTAGGATGATAGAAATGTTGACCTTGCAGATTTTTAACCAGAGATTACATTTCCATTTCTGTTCCTAGCTGGAAAACTAACGTGATGGCAATAAGAAGGTTAAGAGAGGGCAGATAAACATTTTAACAGCACAATAAGCAAGTGTTGCCTTTGTTCAGTGCAAAAATTGGCCTCACTTGTGTTTGGAGCAGTTGGCACAAAAAGGGGAGCCTACAATTTTGGAGAAGAGGCAAGATCCTGCAGTGGATGCCACCTGGGGCACCCTTGAGGTTCAGCCTAGTAGCATGGCTGAGATGGGACAGTGATCAAAGTAATTCCAACTTCAGGTCCAGACTGTGTCTTTGGGGCTTTTGGTCTGATGTCATAATTGTGATATGGACAACAAACCAGTTTGGCCTGGTGGTCAAGGCACCAGGCTAGAAACTGCAGATGGGTGACTTTGGGCCAGTCACCAGGAGACGCTGAGTTCTAGTCCCACCTTAGTCCCATTTTAGGCATGAAAGCCAGCTGGGGTACTTCGAGCCAGTCACTCTCTCTCAGCCAAACTCATCTTATAGGACTGCTGTTGTAGGGATAATAGGAAGAAGAAGGTGTGTTGAATATGTTTGCCACCATGAATTATTTGTAAAATATTGTGGGAAATAAATAAATGGATAGACAGACAGACAAACAGTAATCCTACAAGCCCACCTTGCAAGGTGATGCCACAAGCATTATTGCTACACCGGAAGGTGTCCAGCCCAGCCATCGGCTGCTTGCAACAGATCCTGACCCCTTAAGGGCTGAGTTTACTGGAGAAAAGAGAGTTTGCTTGCTCCCTTGATGATTTCTGTGGAAAACCAGTGATCCCATTGACCAAGAATGTAAGAGAGGATCCAGCACGTTATCTCTCTCTCTCTCTCTCTGGGAAGCCAGGTTATCGCGGCCTGAGACATATCAATCTGCCCAGCTTGGAGAAGAGACAGAATTGCATTTGATCAGCTCAACCCCTGCTTTTTTTTCTGGAGCAAAACAGATTTTCTGGCTTGGCAATCAGAGATTCCAAACGTTTCACCGTTCCAAGTCAGAACATGGTTAGGGCTGTGTACAGTATTTTCGTTCCGGCTTCTTCCGCTGCTTGGTGGGTTTAATTTTGTGGGCTGCTCAGTCCCAAAGCGTGCTTTATTATTTGGAACTGTTAGAGAGAGACTCCTCTGTCTGCTCCAAAATGCCAAAACTGGCTTGCAAGGAAAAAAAACCAAAGAGTTACTTAAAAGGGCGAGGAGACTACAGGAGACCCAATGGATTGAAAATGCCCCCTTTTTATGCCCCAGGAGACTGTCATGTTGTCTTTGCCACCGAACTTGCTGATGGAGTTCTCCAATCCTGTGTTTGAGGAGGACGGCGAGGCGCCGGCCCAGAACCAGCTGGAGGAGGAGAAGAGCAGTGATGCCAAACTCACCGCCAATGGATTTGGTATCGATAGGTCCATGTTTTGGAGGGGCACTGAGACAGGACAGCAGGACAAGCAAGACAGGGAGAGCCGGTTTGGGGTTAAAGTGAAGAGGCTGGACTAGAAACCGAGAGGTTATGAGTTCAAGTCTTCTTTAGCCCAAACCACCACAGCAGGGAGTTGCCGTTAGGAAAAGAGAGCATTCTGTATCTTGCCTTGAGTTGTACTGATGCAAAGATGGGATATTCATCTCTTAAGGGTAATAGTTACAGATGGTTTGGTGGTGCAGTCCCATCACTCCAGAGTCGTTGGCTCACATTTCTATTGCAGTGGTTTCCCAAAGCTTGATAGATTCCAACTCCAATCTCTCCAAGCCAGCAGGATTTAGAGCTACGCTGCCTAGGGGGATTGTCGGAATTGGTCCGAGTGAGTGAGAAACATGGGGGCTGAAGTCCACCAGGCAGGCAGGCAGGCAGGCAGGCAGGCAGGCAGGCAGGCAGGCAGGCAGGCAGGCAGGCAGGCAGGCAGGCAGGCAGGCAGGCAGGCAGGCAGGTAGGCAGGTGAAAGAAATAGGATGGAAGGAAGGGAGGGAGGGAGGGAGGGAGGGAGGGGGAGGGAGGGAGGGGAAGGAAAG